TTTTTTTAACTTATTTATTGGTCATGACTCTTGAAAGACCTGAGAATCATCCTTTACAAAATTATAATAAATACATTTTTTCGTGCCACATCCAGCAAAGCTCTAACTTCTCGTAGAGATCGCGTGGCAGCCTGCGTTCATTGACGACTCCATGTGCAAAAGAAATTCAGCTCTACGTATTATTTCCTCACAATAACCTGCCAAATCTAACTCTAGACTGCGAAGTAATGGTTCGAAAGTTATTTTCTTAGCAGCTTCAAAACATTTTGAAAACACGAAAGCAAGCAATCTTTTTTGCGTCAGATTTAGGTACACTCAGAGTCAATTAGTTCGTGACACCCAAAGTGGCCAAAAAGTTGTCAAAACAACTTTATTCGAATTGGTGAGCTGCAACATTTTAGAGTCTTTGTATACAATATGTATATTTTTCTTACAAAAGTCGATAAAGGATCGACACAGTACCACAGAATACTATAAGTTAACAGTTCTTCAAACGAAGCACGTCAGGGATACAATATGTTACAAGGACTGTAACAAACGTCAAAAGTCTGTCAAACTTCATACAAAAACACCGGTCAATACTTAAACTGAGTTCCACCACCTAACTTTGATGGTAACTATGACGATAACCGGTGTTTTTTGTATGGAGTATGACAGATTTTTGACGTTTTTCAAAGTTAAAGTAAGATGGTGCAACCCAGCCTTATAGTTACGGTTAATGTTAAGGTGATGCCAAGCCTTGTGGACATGTATTAGTTATAACAGTTATTATTTTGCTCGAAAAATTGAAGCATACTTAGTGTAAAACAATGATTTTTATCAGATAGTTAAAAATGAACGTGAGAGTCAAAAAAGTGAATCAGATTTTTATGTAATCAAAATAAGGTTGGATAAGATCGAAATCAATTTTCTTACAATATTGGAATTAGTGACGGATTATTTGGAATTTGACACGCCGATGAACGCATGGCTTGGTGGTTTGAAAAACTGCTAGAAGCTGAGAGAGAACTGATTCGATTCCGGGTTTATTATAATATAATCTATTAAAACACTGTTTAAATCTTCTTTTTGTAGTTACTTTATACATAGATCATGTGCATTTTATTGTAATACACTTTAAAAATATACATAATATGAAAAGTTAGTAGAAATAAAGCAGTGTGACAATTGATTCAAAAGATATATTAATGTCAATTAAAATTTAAATAGGCATTTCGGACTAGACAAATCGGAGGGTCAGAGTTTAAATCCGAATTAGGTCACACATAGTAATAAAACACCTTGTGTAATTTTCTTTCTAATTCATTTACCATTAGACTAGGCGCAGACCACCGATTTTCAGCTGGCCGATAGTTGTGCCCGATTTTAATTTGTATGAAGAATCGGCCAAATCAAATCGGTGTAATGTGCGCACTTCCTTACATGCCCATACTGATCAACTGCCCGACTAAACGATCGGCCGACGAAAAATCGATGGTCGGCGCCTAGTCTTAGACAACTACGAGCGAAATTACAGGGTTCAATTTCCACGAAGGTCACTCGAATAAATAAAATATTTTGTGTGTTTGTTGTAGCTTGTTTAGAAAACGACAGTCATGTCAGATGTCATGTTATGCTCATGTCTGACACCGGGGTCATGACCTTAGTTGTTACAACACAAACTCTGAAATACTTATTTTCAGGTTTTTAATGAACGCGTAGTTTGCAAATAAAATTAAATAGAAGTACATACTACTCACTCATATTGTATACCTGCAAATTGGAAATAATACAATTTAGTATACAGCAGCTTCAAATAGTTCGTGACACCCAAAGTGACCAAAAATTTGGCAATACAACCTTATTCCAATAAGGGCTATCGTTTTAGCGCTCACCAGTTAGCGCCACTGTAGAGTAAGGTCCTGTCACTTGCTAGTAGCAAAGACAGTGGCGCCAACTTGTGAGCGCTAAAGTGGAGGACTATCGCATTTGCACTCATCAAGACGGCGCCACTGTAGAGTAAGGTCCTGTCAATCGCCAGGAGTGCCAACTGTTAAGTATAAAAACGATAGCCCTCATTGTAACGAAGACGTGTTGCGAACTTTTTGGCTACTGTGGGTGTCACAAACTATTTTTCGCAAACTGTACAAAGTTTGATAGAGAATACTTGAGCATTTTGTACACTATTTTGAGCCATATTGTGCACCAAATGTAGTGCAGTGTGTAAATAAAAATGCATTGTATGTTTGTTACGTCAACACACGAAAACTACTAGTCAGATTTGATGAAATTACATATCGTTACAGCTCATAATTACTAGGTGGACCGACGATCTTGTAAAGGTCGCAGGAGGTGCCTGGATGCGGGCGGCGCAGGACTGGTCGTTATTGAAATCCTTGGGGGAGGCCTTTGTCCAGCAGTGGACGACATTTGTCTGAAACGAACAGCCTATAAGTATACACATAGTTCACTTTTTATCGATATCTACAGAGACGAAGTAACGGGAAAAGCTAGTTTATTATATTCCGCTCTATTTATTTAAGAGATCAATGATGTATGTTAATTTGATTTCCGTTTATACAAAACCAATTATTATTGTTCGATAGTGTACAGTACATCAATTTATAATGTTTATTGAAAAACAAAACTTATTAGAAGTAAATAAGATGCACATTGTTTTGCTTAATACGCTATCGTTTATACGTCATCCATTATTTATTAATAAAATACTCGTAGCTGTGCCTGCGACTTCGTACGCGTCAAAATAGTTTGAATGATATTTCCCGGTTTTGCAACATTTTTCTTTAATGCTCCGTCCCTATTGGCTGTAGGGTGATGTTAATAGCCTAAAGCTTCCTCGATAAATGGGCTATCCAACACAAAAAGATTTTTTCAAATCGGACCAGTAGTTCCTGAGTTTAGCGCGTTCAAACAAACAAACTCTTAAGCTTTATAATACTAGTAAGTATAGATTGTAGAAACAATAACACGCAGTTTTTTGATACGAACAAAACTACGGAAAGAATGTAATCATTATCAACATAAAAAATTGTGATTTATCATCTGAAAAAAGTCTTCGTTAGATTGGCAATTAAATGTTATTTTTCAAGTAATCCTATTATTCTATTAGTTTCATAGTAGATTCAACGGCATATCAGACTATTTTTTTGTTGTTGTTGTTGTAAAATCGGACTTAACAACGATTTAAGTTGCCACAGAGTTGCACACACACATTTGTCCTTTAGGCCTTAATTTCGAACTCCGCCTATGTTCTTCTGATTAATTTCGTTGCGGGTCCAATGACAGTTTAACTTTCCCCGGGACAAACTTGACCTTCATTGGTTGGGTTTTTATGGCGGTCAAGCTGTAGATGCTGGCTACACAGGAGTTGCAGCAGTGGGAACGAGAGGTAGGAATAGTCCCGATTTGTCCTTTAGGCGCTTTAGGGCTAATTCTCATTTTAGCAACTGACTCACTCATGGACTACTTCTCATTATAGCCACTTCTCATTTTGGCTACTTCTCACTTGGGCTACCTCGCATAGAGCTATTTACTTTGACTGAGTTTCTTCCGCCAATTCTTTTCAGCACCAGCCCATAATGTTGTCCCGAAGTGGTGGTAGGGCAAGCTATATTTGGGACGTGTATAAGTGCCCTGGAAAGGGCCTATGTACTGAATAAACTATTTGAATTTGAATTTAATTCACTCCCAAAATCTATACTTATATTATAAATGCGAAAGTAACTTTGTCTGTCTGTCTTGCTTTCACGCCTAAACCACTGAACCGATTTTGATGAAATTTGGCATAGAGATAGTTTGAGTCCCGGGAAAGGACATAGGACAGTTTTTATCCCGGTTTTTGAAACATGGGCGCGCGCGATAAAGTTTTACTGTGACAGACAAAATTGACTGATAAACAAAGTTATTTAATTGAGTTTATTTAAAAAACAAAATCACGAAACCATTTTGCTAATACAATGTAAATCTTTAAGATTATGTAACAGAGAATCTATTTTGCGAGGTCCATCTTATTCTTGGTCCAGTAAAAGTCATAGTAAAAGTTGTTTTGTATATATCAGCTGATAATGTATAGCTAGATTAAGCTGAACAATCTGGCTTCTTATGTGTTGGCAATAAAAGCTATTTTATTACAAAAACTAGCTGTGCCCGCGACTTCGTACGCGTGAAATTAGTTTGAATAATATTTCCCGTTTTTGCTTCATTTTTCTTTACTGCTCTGCCTTTATTGGCTGAAGGGTGATGTTTAGCCTAAAACCTTCCTCGATAAATAGGCTATCCAACACACAAAGAATTTTTCAAATCGGACCAGTAGTTCCTGAGATTAGGAAACAAACAAACTCTTCAGCTTATATTAGTATAGTTTCAGACTATAGTGCTAGCTAGTGCTAGTAACTATCATGGAAATAAACAATTTTATAATCCAATTGAGTATTAGGTAAAATAAGTTAGAAGTTATCAAATACGTCTGGTATAACTTGTGTAGCGATTTGCTTAAATGAATAATATGAATTGCTTCATCAACGATCAGCTGATCGTAATTGTATACCAAGCGAGTATGAATAAAAGATAAATAAGCTAAGTAGAGAAAGTGGTTAATACGGTGGTAATTCTGTAAAAAACTTTACGTAGAGTTCAGTTAAAACCTTAATTATCATCCTGTTTTAATTGTAATCAGCCCAAAAAATGATAAGGAAGATTAGTCCAAAAATAGGTATCGTTTCTGAAAACATTTAACTCAAAATTGAGTCAAAAATAAGAGCAATAGGACCTAAATTGCGACCTTTATTATTTTGTTACCATCGCCTTAGCAACACATTCGAAATAATCAAGATGTACGAGTACGTCTACAAAAAATATTTGTGTCTTTTTGCTTCAGTTTATATTGTAATAGATCGTGATTTAAAATATTATTCAAAGTCTCGTTCCAAAAGCCAGTTTAACGTCCATTAATATACATTGTTAACCAATTAAATTGCCTTTCTAATGCCAACACCACTCACCTCTCTCCGTGAAGGCGTCGTTTCCCCCGTTGATGTCCTGCAACCCTTGCTCGTCCGTCCCCACGTCGTTGATGCCGAAGTTCTGATCACGAAACACCACATTATCGAACGCCCCAGGCCCGGCATGGGAGTTCGTATGGAGAACCGAATTCACACTATCCGAGGCGTATGGAAACACTACTCTGGGACTACGCGCCTTCCACCCATTGTACCCGCTGTACAAGCCATTCCTGACGGCTGGAGCGAACGACGGCTGATACGGATCGAAGCCGAAAGTCGGAGCGTACGGACGCGAAAACCTCCCTTGGTAGTAACTTGGAAAAGACTGATATGGCCTGAACCGAGGCAAGGGCTCGTAGAATCTCTCATTCCCTGATGGCGTCTCGTCCAATTGACTCTTCGTTGTAGTGTCACCGTCTTCTGGAGACGTGAACTCGTAGTCAGACGCATCATCAAATTTAACCTTCGAGTTCTTGTCCAAAGTCAGATCAATCTCCCCCCGTCCAAATGGCTGGTGGTTCTCATTGTCATCCAGGAATAGCACCCTGGATTGTCTAGAGCGGGTCCTGTACAACTTCCTGGGCACGAACATGACATTTCTGAACGGTTTTTGGTAGACTAGACTGAGCGCGCGGCTCGGCTCGCCCGCCGCCGCGGTAGCCGCGACCAGCAGTATTACTTTCCACGCGTTTTCGCTGTACATATTACCGCGGTCAGTGCACTGATTTCACTTTCATTTTCCACCAGAACAGCTGGACGAGAGGATCCTTGCCTTTGATGCGTCAGAACATTAGTGTATTATGTTTTTAAAAGTTCGCTTTCATTTTGCTGTGACCCGCGCGCGGTTTGAACGAAAGCTGCTCGAAGACTGGCGTTCCGCCGTCCCCACTGCGCGTGAGGCGGTTACATAAAGGTCCGATATAACCACAGTTTATGTAACCCCGGCCAGTTATACTGACGTAGTTTGACAGACGGACAAACAAATTACATGATAGATCTTCAGTTTTCCCCCGTTTTCGTGTGACCTACTAAGGTTGTGTTGGGTGCTGTTATGACAGTGATTGTAGGTTAAGAGAAAATGAATTTTAGGGCCGATCTTGAATAATAAATAGGTATTATTTGGTTTTAATTGTTTTTAATTTTAGTAGTTTCCGTCTATTTTTATACTTATTTGTAAATATATTTTTACTGTTGTTATTGGTTCTTAAACTCGTATTTTAATTTACCATTAAATTAACATTGAAATATTACAAATGTGGTAGAGATGTGTTATGTTATTATTATTGTAATATTATTACTCGTGATTCAGCATTTTATTATACATACGAGTATAATATACGTAGTATATTTAAATACAATTAGTAGTTAGTACTTTATGAGCGTTACAGGTCGCGGGAAGAGCCTGGATGCGGGCAGCGCAGGACCGTTCATTGTGGAAAACCTTGGGGGAGGCCTTTGTCCAGCAGTGGACGTCATTTGGCTGAAAAGAACGAACGAACGAACGAGCGTTACAGATTCAATTTTAACAGCTCTTGGATCATCATCATAACCATTTCAGCGACAGGGACGTCCACTGCTGAACATGGGCCTCCCCCAATGATTTCTACATCACCCGGTTGGTAGCGGCCCTGCTACTTTTATGAAGTCGTAGGTCCACCTTTTGGGTGGATAAGAATAAAACAATTTTATTCATAACTTTTACTTCATGATCTAGAAAGAAAGTTAGGCTGGGTTGCAACATCTTACTTTAACTTAAACAAACGTCACAAATCTGTCAAAATCAAACAAAAAACATCGGTTATTTTTAGCCTAGGCGCAGACCGTCGATTTTTCGTCGGCCGATAGTTTAGTCGGGCAGATGATCAGTATGGGCATGTATGGAAATGCGCACATTACGCCGATTTGATTTGGCCGATTCTTCATACAAAAATAAAATCGGGCCCAACTATCGGCCAAATAAAAATCGGTGGTCTGCGCCTAGTCTTATAGTTAAAGTAAGTTGGTGCAACTCAGCCTTAATGATTCATGAAGGGAGTCAAACCTAAGACTATCCATTCTCCAACCACCACTCTGCCTCACGACGTCATTACAGCCATCTATATTACATTACAAGTGGTAAACATTTCTTTCTACTTCCAAAGCACGACCGATGAATGCACGAAAAGCCTTTCACTGCAGTAGAAGTTTCATTCACTACTAATAGATGGCGTTATGTAGGAATTGTAATGTTCTCATCTGTATTTAAATGAAAATAATATTTGTAAATTAATTGCAATAAATAGGACTCACTCAGATACTGAATACCTGTATTATCATGACATTTGTTCTGAAAATAAAATTATTTTATTTGATTTGATACAGTCGATTAGTAGTAACATAAACGAAGGAAATAATAAAATTAATATTAATATTTATAGTATACTAGCTGACCCGGCGAACTTTGTTCCGCCTTAATGGCAATAAATAAGCAGACTTTTTTTTAATTTCGAACGGGATAAAAAGTATCCTATGTCCTTCTCCTGGCTCTAAACTACCTCCCGGACAATTTTCAGCTAAATCGGTTCAGCCGTTCTTGAGTTATAAGCGAAGTAACTAACACGACTTTCTTTTATATATGTTACGGTCAAAGTGATAAATGTGAAAATTATGAATAATCGCCGGTTATTATGAATAATTACCGCATGATTTGGTAAATGTGATTAATATGAGGTCATTTATGTGTGTATAAAACTAAATAGGCGGCTTAGGGGTGGCCCAAGGGCCACCCCCGCCGCACCTTAACCTATTTTTCACTTTAAAACAAAACATTATGTTATAGGCATCATGGAAAAGTAATATTATGCAAAAAACATTCCAAACTCATTATGCCAAATTACATTAATATATGATATCAAAACGTTCAAAAGTTTGGCTGTACACGAGCACGTACACAAGATGTTGTTCTCTTTAATGAAATTTGTTAGTACTAAGGTTGAATTATTAAATAATCACTGTTAAATGTGATTAATTTATCACTTTTACCGCGACTGTCGGTAATTATTCATAATAACCGGTTATTATTAATAATTTTCAATTTATCACATTAACCGTAACATATATATAGATGAGTAGATAGATATTAGAACCCTCAACCAAGTCCTAGGAAAGTATTTGTTCTATTTAGTTGAACTCTATATTATTAAGCTGGTAATAAACTTGTCCAATTCAAGATTTTTTTATACACAATTAATTTTCAAAATCGATTAATGATCAATTAATATCAGACGCTAACGATTAAAAATAATGATAATAAAATACAAAATAAATTGAAAGCCTACTGAGCTCGATTTATTATTTATTTATGTAATCGTAAAGTCAACATTTGTTTTTCTTCAGTTTTAGTCTTAATTAAAAGTAAGTTTCAGCTACATTCTCTTTCCTACGTCGAAATAAAAATATTATTTTGGAAAGATGCTACGAGTGAGTGTTGCTAACGCGTTGATGTCTTTTAAGCGACTCTCATTTCTTGTAGCAGAATGTACTATTTAGTCAGTTTTAAAGAAATTAGAATTTAAATTGTTTCAACATCTTCCTTCGGATGTCAGTGGGTTCAATTCTCAGATGGCTAAACGTAAACTGGCAGAGAATTCCATTTGGGCAAAGTTCGCCTTACGTACTTATTAAGTAACTCAATGTATGTATATACTAATCTGCGTTAAAAAAGTTCGTGACACCTAAAGTGGCCAAAAAATTGACAACACAACCTTAAACCAATCGTAACAAAAACGTGTTGTATTCCCACCTGAGTGCCACATGTTCACCTATGTTTTTACAAATAAATGATTTGATTTGATTTGAACTTTCGTGTTTTTGGCTACTTTGGGTGTCACGTACAATTTGACGATTACTACCATAATTATTTGATTAAGAAAAAGAGAAAAAATGCGTGTCCAATATTTTTTCCTCATTTAACTGATGGACAAAAGAATAAATATTTGTCTAGTTAGTGAGCATGCGTTTTGACAGCTCCAAAAAGTATGTCAATCGTCTATAGTGTCAAGTACCTCATTAGTTAACCACACAAACCTTAATCCGACCCAAACAGATTAAAAAAAGTATAAGATGACAGTTATTTGGGTGCCCAAAAGTCAAAGTCAAAAGTCAAAATTTCTTTATTTGTTTAGACTAATAAATAGTTCTTACAAATCGTCATAAAATATGCTCTTAAGGAGCCTCTACATGTCTCATAATCTTTTTACCCTACCAGCGCTTCGAGACCAACATTTGGCAAGTGCTGAGAAACGGCGCCATATTACGCGATCGGCGCCGGCGCAGAGAAACGCAGAGAAACTGTGACAGTAACGAAATAATCGAGCGATGGGCGCGGCTTAATAATCCTTAATCTTGGATTTTTCCATTATTCAATCAATTGATCGGATACAAAAATGAAAGCAATGGTTTTTGAGTCTATTTATTTCAAAACTTTATTTCACCATCATCATCTCAGCCATAGGACGTCCACTGCTGAACATAATCCTCCCCCAATGCTTTCCATGTTGCCTGGTTGGTAGGGTCCTGCGTCCAGCGCCTTCCTGCTACATTTATGATGGCGTCAGTCCACCTTGTGGTCCATCCACCCTTATTTCATTACATAGAAATTCTTGTAAAATATTCGAACTTAATGCAAATTTAAAGAATATTAATAATTTATTATCCCGTTAACCCCTCGTACTAAAGTAAATAAGCTTGTGTTACGAGTGGGTTCATTACAACAGTCGGGCTGTGTTATATTAACAAACGGGTTTATACATAACTAGCGACCGCCCGCGACTTCATACCATAGATCCCGTTTTACCCCCTTAGGGGTGGAGTTTCGAAAAATCCTTTCTTAGCGGATGCCTACGTCATAACATCTACCTGCATGCCAAATTTCAGCCCGATCCGTCCAGTGGTTTGGGCTGTGCGTTAATGGATTACTATGTCAGTCAGTCAGTCAGTCACCTTTGAGTTATACATAATATGTATATTTAGATTAAAGTATACCTAGCCAATTACAAGTTTCAACCTATAGTTAGACAATTAATTTGATCGCGGAAAGAAAACTATGTTAATTATTTACCTTACCTATAAAAGAAGATAGCATGAGAGTTCAAAACTGCATCAAAGTAAAGTATAAAAAATAAACCAAAATAAAACCAAATAAACGTCCATCTTCATTTCCAAAACACCAAGTCGCATGTCTTTACTAATGGGTCTTCAAACATCACAAAAATGCATGTGAAACTTTTTCGGGACGGCGCCGGCGCCAGGTATGCGGCCCTAAGGTCATTTTGTCGTGTTAACGAGCCACAGATTATAGAAATCCGATTAATATTGTCTATGAATTATTTATGAGCTCGGCCATGCGTGGTGCCAGTGAATTGGAGACTCTTTCATAATTATCTGTGGTTTGAAGATGAAAGTGTGAGCTTTTAGAAGAAAAAGATTATGAATCCTACTATTATTATAAATGCGAAAGTTTGTATGGATGTCTGGATATCTGGATGTTTGTTACTCTTTCTCCCAAAAAATACTGAACGGCTTATGATGAAACTTTACAGTATTATTGTTTATAACCCAGAATAACATATAGGCTATAATTTATGACAATCTGTGACAAACTAAATTTCACGCGGGTGAAACCGCGGGCAAAAGCTAGTATTATCATAGTTCATTAGTCTACATTGCAGGAGCGCAACACTTTTTTAACTTAGCAGGACCAAATGGAGGTTTTGACCTACACTATCAGACTGGTCTGAACCAGTCAGACGTGTTGAGAAGGCCTTTGTTCACATAATTATGTAAAGAAGAATAGATATTTCAAGAAAACCTTTTAATCTAAGATATATAATAACTATTTAATATTTTAAACTATTATGTTGCATTTTTTACTATAAAATTATCACTTCACGGGATATTATTTACCGTTAAAATAGATATTGTTGCAATAAATCCCGTGAAGTGATAATTTTATAATAACTATTATACTGTAAGTACTTTACCATAAATGTCATCTTGAACTATTTTACCCGCAATACCAATCGAAGGCCGTTACTTTGTTTTTGCGTTGAAAGACGCGGGATACCGTTATAGCGCAGCCTACTGGGATGCCTTAGCCGACTTGGACTAAAAAGAAGGTTAAGGTTTTTTACTATGAAATTATACACAGGATATATGTGGGACAAATTGCAATTATAAACAGAAGAATGACATTGGAGTAGAGTCCCGGCAATAACACCTGCGGCAGAGAAAGACTGCCTAAAAGATGGACAGACGACATCCGGCAACAAGCTGGAATAAACTGGATGCAAGTGGCGGGGGACAGAAGTCGGTGGAAGGTTGAAGAGGAGGCCTATATTTGAAGACGAACCCCAATGGCCCCCCGAACCCCGATAATATTAGATAGATAGATGTGGGACATAGCAATAATTATATTCTAGGATCAGCCCCAAATCTGTGAGACTAGGCAAGAACAAATCGTAAAATATGTATGTATAGGATGTAATTAAATTAATAAATAAGTAGTGTAGAGACCCCGTTTGTAATCACTATCAATCAAACCACAAAGTTGTAATCAGTATTAAGAATACTGTAATATTAAAATGAGCTAAAGCTGATGATTATGAAGATAAATTATAGCAGTTTTTTATTTTATAATGCTTTACGTATTATAAGTGAAATTATAGAGTAACCAAAACCGGTACTTCTGCCCTATTATGCATAGGCCACTGGACTCGTTGACTGCAAAATGATCAAGAAAATGAATATTTACCAATTTCTAGTCCGGATTATTCAGATACCAGACATTCCGGTCCTTCGAGCCGGATGACAGCCTTGCAGGACCCCACCACAGATGATGATTCGCAAGTTCGAGACGCGAGATTCCTCGTGATGCAGGATCTGCAGGGTTCATGTTGCTTGGTACATACCGCCAAGACACGTCCATCGCTTTATCAAACTGGGACTATTCCCACTTCTCGCTCCCACCGCTGCAACTCCTGTGTAGCCAGGATCTACAGCTTGACCGCCATAACCCAACCAGTGACGATTAAGTTTGTCCCAGTGGAAAGTTAAACTGTCATTGAAATTAATCAGAAGAATACAAGAGGACACACTCCAGGATGGAATAGTGTAGAAGAGAATAAACTATCTCAAGAAAAGACTAATATGAATGTTAATATGTTGTTAATTTCATACTTGATTTTAAACAAAATAACGTTCTAAGAAAGGTGTGTGTCATTATAACTGCATTCACTGCGAGGTAATGTACAGTCAGCCTCAAAATAAAGTAAAGTATATGGTATTTTCTAAATTAATGTCAGATTATTCCGTATTAAAAAAGATAGCAGTTCACTGAAAAGCCACGAGAGCGTTTGTGTATTTCTTTATTAAGGAAACAGAGCTGTCAATGCTAACTCACAAATAATTTGCTTAAGGTTTCTTGGTCTCCATTAAGGAACCGACGAAATTAAGCAAAAAATTAACAATAAATCCTGAGTATCAAAGATCAGAAACTCCCAACAAATTAATACCATCTAACATAAAACACAAAAAATGCAACTACCTAGGGTAAACCAGAGAGTGATTGCCCACTGGTAGTGATTGCCCGCTTTAAGAATAATATTGTCAGGTGCTGACTTTGAATCACTCTAGTTAGATTTGAATTTACTAAGTAGATGGCTCCGAGATCAATGTACAGTAGATTTAAAATTTACAATAGGAAACACTAAAAAAAAACAGTTATGACGGATTTGGACAAGACGGCTGAAAATGTTACTCAAACAGGTGAAGACTAACAATTTTACTAAGGAATTACTTGCTTAGAGGTTACATTTTTTTTGCAAGTTATTTAATATTCAACTAATGGTGTATAGTTACAGTACAAACATACGATAACTTATTAATTGATTGAAGAAACTAGGAGAAAAAAGTAAATAAAATATTAGGAGGCAAAATAATACAGAAAAGTAAGACTACTTACTTATGTTACTGACTGTACTTTCTTTGAAAAAATTAATGCAAAACGGCTGACTTTTACTTCGTTTTTAATTTCTACGATGATTTGTTTTTGATGATTCACTTTCTGCTGAGTCAGCGCATTAGACTTGTGCTCGCAGAATCGCAAATGGCCGCCTAACTTGCTAGTTGTGGGTTTTATTCAGCTGGGGACATAATAATATGTTGGTGTAATCACCATGATGATAACAGGAGTCAATCAAAAAGGAAGTGGAATCTTAACTTCTAACTACTATGTTCTTCTGATTAATTTCGTTGCGGGTCCAATGACAGTTTAACTTTCCCCCGAGGCAAACTTGGCCTTCACTGGTTGGGTTATTGGCGGTCAAGCTGTAGATCCTGGCTACACAGGAGTTGCAGCGGTGGGAACGAGAGGTGAGAATAGTCCTGTATTTTCTAAGTCATGGATGTTAATTATTAGGTTATTTAGCCTAAACTGCAGGAGTACCCATCTAATTTACCAGAGGCAAATGGAGGATTTGGCCTAGACTTCCCTTGCTAGACATGGGTTGGGAGGACTTGATGTTGGCAGATTTATCCTTTAGTAGCTTCTTCTCTTCTCTAGATAGAGCTCGTCAATTTTTTATAATGAGTCTCTTACAAAAAGTAATTAATAAAAGCGAAAGAATGTGAAAAGTTTTGGATATTTTGTCATTCTTTCATGCAAAATCTACTGGGTGGATTTTGATAAAACATTAAAATGCTCTATCATAGACGTCAGAACAACACATAGACTATTTTTAATTGAAATCTACGCGGTCGAAGATTAACTAATGCTAAATAAATTAACATTAATTTGTTGTTAACACGGAACCCAAGGAAAAGCTTGAGCAAAGCAACGCGATTGATTATTAAATTTTACCACAACTACATACTTTCGATACCCGTTCGAACTAGAGCTATCATAATCGTGATAGCGAGACGAACCAACCCGCTTGCTTCGACTAACTTAACCCAACAGCGGCGTAAACTAGAACCTATTTTACGCATACTGAATTTATCAAATCGCGAAGACACTAGCGCCATCAGCGAACGCACGACAAAGAATTTCGCAGCCAGAAGGCTGTATCGAACCTCCTTGCATGACGACCAACTTAATTAATGCATACGGACAAACTCAGAACTAAAAAAACGCCATACTTTATATTTTAAATTGCGAAGAAAGTGGCGCCACTGTGAAGCGAAAAAGAAAATTTGTAGCGGCGTCCGATCGACAGGTTTTTGAGAAAACAGCCAGTACGCTTTTAAACGTAGAACGCTACTGACGGGCGCCATTAAAAAAGTTGAAAAAAAAGAATCGGATGACACAGATAAGAAATTCGGCGCGCGAAAAATTAGGTATTTTACTGTGTCGACTTAATGTGGAATTTTGTTAAATATTTATTATTAAGTGCGTTTAGTGAAAGTGTCTAGTCTAAAAGTGAAAGGCGATGCTAAAGTGAGTACCTAACTATAGTGATCGTCAAAATCCTGTTTTGATTTGTGAGATGATGGAGTTCGGCAATGTTTTGAATGGAGATCTCTGACCCAGTTAAAGAACTTTCGTGTAACTGGATGTTCAACCTCTTTTCTAAATATCCTTCACCGACTCTTTCTTTTTTTTACCTGTTTATTTATTTATTATCTGTGACATTTTTCAATTTGGCGGGAAATGTCCTTTGCTGCTTTATTTTTCACGCAAACGAAAATGATGTTTTTATCGTTCACTAAACGAATTAAATTATAAAATAAAGTGTAAATTCAATTTCGATTCAGCTTTTTAGTCAATTAGTATTCAAATACATACTTATTAGGACTTTAAAACAACTAAGTATGAAATCTCTGTAAACAAAACAAAATTCAAGTCAAGCTTTTAAAGATTAATTTATTGACAATTTGTAATTTTTTATTTTTTGTAATGTTTTTGATGGTCCGACGATTTCAAGAAGTATAGATAAAAAATGGGAACATCGTGAAATCGGAAGAACATGCGTTGTGGCCTTGGGAGAGATAGCAGTGGACTGCCATGATGATGATGATGACAAGCCCTTTATATTTTTGGATGATTTATACATACTAAAAATAAAGTAAAATTATTTATATTAGTCCCACCACAGGGTAAAGGATTCAATCCAACCAACTGTGAAGGGTTCAGACCATACCCCACTTGGAGTTATTGCAGATTAAATTAAGCATCTTAATACAGAAGTAATACGAGCGATTTTGCAATGAAAAAGTACAGTGTGATGAGTCAATAACTGTACTTACCTTAAAACATCCTAAGAAAATAAACCTTAATTTCCTTTACAGCGAAAGAAACCCAAAAACCCAGATTTTGCTCAAATATTTGTCACTTAAATAAATATTTACGGCTCTCTTTTTAACGGCACTTGGTAATAAAACTTCTGGCAATTAAATGGATTTCATTTTCAATAATGAGGATTGGGGAGCATTTTTTGAGCATGAGTCAATTGACACACTTTTTTCTGGACACGGGACTATTCCCACCTCTCGTTCCCACCGCTGCAACTCCTGTGTAGCCAGGATCTACAGCTTGACAGCCAATAAAAACCCAACCAGTGAAGGTCAAGTTTTGCCCCGGGGGAAAGTTGAAACTCTCATTGGACCCGCAACGAAATTAAACAGAAGAACATAGGAGGAGTTCGAAGTTAAGGTTCGAAAGAAAGAGATGAGCTTCCTAGCTATCAAATTGAAATTCTTTTTTATATTATTATTTCTTGAGCCCTCATAACTTTATTCTCGTTCAACATCTTAGAGGCATGGCTGAAAACCAGTGTTGCAAGGATCTCTCCTTACAACTTAGACTGAGCCAGTGGGTCTAGACAAAGTGCAAATTATAATCGCAAACCAGTCGAAAAGTGGTCGAAAAGCCCCTTTTTTGTATGGAGTTTTGACGGATTCGATTTTCGATTCGATCAAAAAGTGCGTTTTGTCTAGGGGGGAAGGTCAAATTGCCAAAATTGAAAATCGAACGCACAGCGTTGAATAGAGCTCTGTGATTGGTTCATCTGTCACCCTGTGCGTCATACTCGTAGTGATGTTTGTAGTTGTCATTGTCAAATAACAAGCTATTTTCCTTTCTTCCTTTTTTAACTGTCCAATTTTATCGTCTCTCTCGTATTATATTTAGGGCTGATTTTTCAATCGTCAGATAACTTTTATCTGAAGAATAAGTTTGGCACATTGACAGTTTTTGTATGGGAAATATGTCAAAATGACAAGGTTATTCTTCAGTTAAAAGTTGTCCGACGATTGAAAAATCGGCCCTTAAACATATTAATAAATTAAAATCAACAAGTTATTATTGTTTGCTATAATTAAACAATCATGTGCACGTCAATTTATTGATTGATTTCTTTAATCAGGTGTCACTGTTTATTGATTAATAGCAATTAAAACTAATTATACAAATAAATCAATACTAACTAAGTAACTTAGAAGTTTGCTAATTTACTAGTTTTGTGAATGAGGAATCAAACTTAAAATCGTAATTGTTATTATCATTTACTAGCTTTCCGCCCGCGGCTTCGCCCGCGTGGAATTTTGTCTGTCACAGAAAAACTTTATCGCGCGCGTCCCTGTTTCAAAAACCGGGATAAAAACTATCCTATGTTCTTTCCCGGGACTCAAACTATCTCTATGCCAAATTTCATCAAAATCGGTTGCGAGGTTTAAGCGGGAAAGCGTAACAGACAGACAGACAGACAGACAGACAGACAGAGTTACTTTCGCATTTATAATATTAGTTGGGATTACAAGTAGTAATATTCTTATTTTATTAATTCGTTCCATACTTATACAAGGTGGAAACGATATGTGATCTCTCTCGATTATTTCCAAACTATACAAGATATCGAAAAACTGGTTTCTGATCCTGAAAGTGCTTCAGGAGCTCTTTCAAACAGTCAGAACCTGAGGTAAAGGAGCGGCATGAGAGGGGTGATATTGACATAATATTATGACGTGACAGAACAAATAAAACTGAAGGAGATTTTAAGTCTCACTGAGATTCCGTGGAGGGTAGTTGAACGGGAAGCATGGTCGATCTGTTTTAATGGTTTCAATTTATTATTTAACTAGCTTTCCGCCCGCGGCTTCGCCCGCGTGGAATTTTGTCTGTCACAGAAAAACTTTATCGCGCGCGTCCCTGTTTCAAAAACCGGGATAAAAACTATCCTATGTTCTTTCCCGGGACTCAAACTATCTCTATGCCAAATTTCATCAAAATCGGTTGCGAGGTTTAAGCGGGAAAGCGTAACAGACAGACAGACAGACAGACAGAGTTACTTTCGCATTTATAATATTAAAGTTGGGATGGACTTTAGTGTACAAATTTGGTGTTATTTTGTGTTCTAAAGTGCAGTGAAGTGATAAATTATAAAAAACATTGAAATACTTCGAATTTGAGCGCGCATCGAGTGTCGAGTGGGTTGTCGTATGAACAACCCGCTTTGGACCCGGTGGCGTCTTGAAACCTGCTTACGGGCATACTTAACTCCACGGAATCCATGAAAAATCAATAGAACTGAAACACCCACGTTCTATTGATAACTATGTCAATTTTCACTCGAGATTGGCAGAAATAAACCTCCCAGAGAGGTTTGGTTGCCATTAAAAAAAAAAAGTCTCACTGACGTTTGACGTTACAAAAACACCCTCCGTGCCGCTCCCATTCCTCAAGCACTGACTGAGTAAGCGCTAAACTGACAAACTTTTTAAGGCTGATTTGCACCACCTTATTTTAACCGTAACAATATCAATAACCGGCGCTTTTTGTAGGAGTTTGCAAGATTTTTGACGTTTGTCAAAGTTAAAGTAAGATGGTGCAACTTGGCCAAAGAGTTATATTACTTTAGAATAGGCGCACACCGTTGATTTTTCGTCGGCCGATAGTTTAGTCGGACAGTTGATCAGTATGGGCATGTATGGGAGTGCGCACACTACGCCGATTCGATTTGGCCGATTCTTCATACAATTTAAAATCGGGCACAACTATCGGCCAACTAAAAATCAACGGTGTGCGCCTACTCTTAGTAATATTTTAGGTCTTGAAAACTCTTTCTTTCATAAATTATGTAAATACCAGACAAAATACGTTTCAAAACACAGACAAGCTTTCCCCCCAAAAACAGTTGACAAGTAAAAGTGAGCACACATTAGTTCATATGTAAATCTCTCTTTGTATAACTAGTCCTTTTAAAAGTAACAAAGGGGTTTGAAAGAACTTTCCATTCTTTGATGGGGTCATGTGTCACTTTAAGTCAGGGATCATTAGGCTGGTTCAATTTAAAACAGCCGGTTTAACCATGAATGGATACGCCCGTATTCACAAACATTACTATGAGGTCTCACAGTGCGCGTGGACGCACAGGGTGACACAGAGCTCTATTCAACGCTGTCCGTTCGATTTGCTGCTTCAGTTTTTTAAGCTCGTTGTAAATACGGGCGTTTGTGAGTTTTTTATGAATCACAAAGCAGGTTGTTGACTATAATCACATTATCACACCTTATGTTCAATGAGATGTTTAGGTTTGAACAGCTAATACTGGCGCCAAAGCTTGGTCCCAACATTGGTGCCAAACTATTTCTAGGATCATTTGGACGAGTGGGTTAAAGCCAACTTTGGCCAGCCAATGAATCCTAACCAATGATTTGAAAAGTTGGGAACACTTTCCTAGTATGTGGGCAGGCCCCCCACTAGGTGGACCGACAATCTGGTGAAGGTCGGGAGAGATACCTGGCCTGAGCGCAGGACCGGTGGTTGTGGAAATCCTTGGGGGAGGCCTTTGTCCAGCAGTGGACGTCATTTGGCTGAAACGACTGAACGATCTGTCCTAGAACGCGCTACCAATTTTATTAAAATATTTATAGTCCCAGGAGTTCAAAGTACATTATAATATAAAGGGTGGAAACGATAAGTGATCTATCTTGATTATTTCTAAACTATACAATTAGATATAAGATAGATCCAGTTTATTCCGTAACCTATATTGATACCGTTTAATAGAGCTCGTAAAGCACTTTTAGGATCAGTAACCAGTTTTTCGATATCTTGTATAGTTTAGAAGTAATCGAGTGAGACTTACTTATAGTTTCCACCCTGTATACTTCCCACCATTGCAAAGCGGGAGACAGATCATTGAGAAGGCATTTAGACCTTTCCTTTTACACTAGCTAGATATAAGATTACAAAACCACAGTGGTTCACCCACAATCTCACAAATCCTGAATCCTGAATCATATTTCATATTGTAAAAGTGGGCTAGTCTGTAATTATATCTACCCCCAAGACAAAGAAACATTCGGCAGTATTCCGAAGTCCCTTTTCAAGGCTGTCGCTTTAACAACAATGTTATTAGCATTGTTGGGTTTCAGCAGTTAAATGTAAGATATCCAGTTCTTCTGTGGTTGAGGTTTCTAGGTGAAACTTGCTTCCAGCTTCATCATCTTTTTCCAAATATTAATTAGAATTGACTAATCCCGTTATGATAAAAAACTCAATTTTTTCCTATGAAGCAACTTCGCTCCATAGAGCAATCGCAAAGTATCTTTCTCCATATACCCGTTAACTCCTCGTGATAATGCTATACCTACATATGCTTGTGTCACAGGTGAGCTCACCACAGTAGTCCGGCGGCGGCTTTAGGCATGTGGTCATCATCATCATTATCATTTCAGCCGTAGGACGTCCACTGCTCAATATAGGCCTCCCCCAATGATTTCCACAATGGCCGGTTGATGACGGCCTTCATCCAGCACCTTCCTACCTCCTACCTTTATGAAGTCGTCGGTTCACCTTGCGGGTGAACGTCCTACACTGCGCAATGCACATTCCGGTACGTGGCCTCCACTCCAGAACCTTGCTGCCCCATCGGCCGTCAGTTCTGCGTACTATGTGCCCTGTCCATTGCCACTTCAGCTTGCTAATCCGTCGGGCTATGTCAGCGATTTTAGTTCGTTTACGGATCTGCTCATTTCTGATTCGATCTCATAAAGAAACACCGTGGTCACCGCTCGAGAACTTTTCTGATTTCATCCCAGATCTTAATTGTAAGGTTGCTGCACAAATGGCTGGGCAGGTCGCGGCCTATAAGCGCGCCGGCGCGTGAGCACTTTCGCGATTACAGTCGCTGGGTTTGTCTTTACGGCTGTTGGATTAGCGAAAACTGGCAAGCAGATTAACGCTATTTATTAAAGAAACGCAAATCACTCAAATACGTTGCGTAGTTTAATGGTCGAAAAGTCTTCAAAGTGGAGCGACTTTGTTTATACTATAATAGAAAAGAGCAATTGAACTCTGACAGATAATTAAAGAGTTTAATAGAGATGACAATAGTCTAACTATGTAGGTAACGGAATGCCAATTCGAGATTCAAAGAATCAGTGGACTCGTTCGTTCGTTTGAGCCATATGACGTCTACTGCTGGACAAAGGCCTTCCCCAAGGATTTTCATAAAGACCGGTCCTGCGTTGCTCACATCGAGCTGATCACTAGACTATTGTGGTCACCCATAACACATAATTTTAGCTCAGCTTAAAGGGTTAACTTTTAACTGAAAATTACACTCTAAGGCCTGCCATAGACGGACAGCTCGAGCAGTTAGTCAGTGATCAACATACACGGACCACTCTTGTAGTCAAGAGTCAACAGCTTGAAGCTGCCAGTGATAGCTGCTCGAGCAGTTGGTATTAACTGCTCAATGTGTTTTTAATTTATATAATTTTATTAATATTTAACTTTTTGACATTTTATAATTTTTATTAAATTTAACTGTTTGACATTTTATAAAATTGACATTGTATTTATTTGACATTTAGAAATTAATGTATAATTTATTACTATTTAATTAATTTTTAGTCTGCACTCTGTATTAATTTTAACTGTGGAAACTTTGCTGATTTCTGTCCTATTTTTTTGTGTGATTATTTGTCTGTATATCAAAATTGTTTGTTTCCCTAATATAAATAAATAAATAAATAAACAAATCACAAGCGCGCGCGCCGTGGAATGAAGAAAGTGGGCGGAGGTAACTGCGCGAGAGCTGTCGACAGCTCGAGCAGTCAGTGTATGGCTGGCGACTGCTTGACCGTATGATGAAAATTCACCGTGCTGCCGACCGCCCGAATCAGTTGCATACTTGCAACTGCTCGAGCGGTTCGTGTAGGTATGTGCGCCCATAGAACTCTGCAGTTCACTGTACAGTCGCAGCTTGAAGCTGTCGACCATGACTGTTTCAAGCGGTCCGTGTATTGCCGGCCTAACTCGACACTCTTTTCAATTAAAACAAATAAGACCAGTGACAAAATCCTTGTTAAAATAAAAATCTATCAAGACAGCATTTATCAAAACAGCGTCTCTTTTACAGATACACAACATTCCGTTCGAACCAGTGACACCCCAGCTCGCGCTATGTCAGAACAATACCACTGCACACAAACGCCATGTCAGCGGTGAGAAATGAGCCCAAAACAAAATGGACGACCGAAAACCATAGAGCCACAGACCACAAATATAAAAAAGTGCTGAGGAAAAGAAAAAAATGTGTAACGGACACAGACACGACAAAATGTCGGGCGAAAATAAGATGGCGGATCAGTTCAAGGGTGCTACTCCCGTTGATGATTCTGAATTTTACAGGATATGCGAGTGCAGTGGAGTGTAAGTTGGTTTATTATCACTTTTAACAAATTACTTGTAGTGAGTTCTTATTGTTATTATTGACTAGTAGAAGAACAGTGATCTACCACTGGTATTGATCAGTGTAGGTAGGTACCTGAGGACTACTTCTGAGGGGCTAGTGGGAGTTTCAAACGTGCTCATCAGTGAGCGCGTCAAAAAATGACATTAAATGTGTGACGGATTGTACAGCGCCCCTAGCGGGAAACTTTCAAGAACTACTGGTTTCCCCTAAAATCATTGAAGATCGAGATAGAAAGTAAATTCAAAATACCCTACAACGTAATAATTCACCAAATAAAACTGCGAGACATCTTTAAAATTAACTCCCCGGAACATTTAGATCGGTCTAGAATTTCAATCAATCTAAAAGACTTAAGGAAAACTCTTGGCTGAATGAAAAAGGAAAAGTAGTACGTCTCTGCCATCAATTAGAACAAACTTTGCTGGCTAGGTATTTAGTGTGAATGCTAAAGGCAGGAACTGAATTTGTGATCAAAAATGTAAGCCCAATCTTCTCATCCACAGCCATAACCAGCAGAGTCCTAGCGTCCATCCTGGGCTACCCATCCACCTGCAACTCAGGCTCGGAGGTGCGTCCGTGCACTCTGTCCCTGGAATGCTGGCTGAGGGGCGGCGTGAGGGCGAGGGGGTGTGGCGGATGGCTGTTCACTTGCTGTATGCCCCCTACTCCTCCGGTCGCTGATAGCTTTGAGAACAGGTGACTTTTTGAATTTTGTTTTGACATCCTCAGCTAGAAATAAGCCTCGCGTCTGCGCATCCTCTCGTTATAGTGCTGGTTGCGGGGAGGCGTGAGGGAGGGGGTTCCCTTGCTGTGCGCCTGCAGCTTTGAGAACAGGTGACTTTTCAACCTTCATTTGTTTCAACCATGCAAAAGACGTCCACAGCTGGAAAAAGGCGTCTTTCTGTCTCTAAAGTACGGGGGTGGCTAGCTGTTTAATTTACTTGCTGTGCACCCCTCACTGATAGCTTTGAAACAGGTGACTTTTTGAGCTTCATTTGTTTCAACCAAAAGACGTTCTCAGCTTTAAAAGGACCTTGCGTCCGTGCACTCTGTCACCAACAGAGTCCTAGCCTCCATCCTGGGCTACCCATCCACCTGCAATTCAGGCTCGGAGGTGCGTCCCTGCACTCTGTCCCTGGAATGCTGGCTGAGGGGCGGCGTGAGGGCGAGGGGGTGTGGCGGCTGGCTGTTCACTTGCTGTATGCCCCCTACTCCAGTCGCTGATAGCTTTGAGAACAGGTGACTTCCTAACCTTCATTTGTTTCAACCAAGACGTCCTCAGCTGAAAAAAGGCGTCACTCTCTCGTTAGAGTGCTGGTCAGAAGCAGCCAGCTTCTCATAAGAAGCGTGAGGGCGTGAGGGCGAGGGGGTGCGGCGGCTGGCTGTTCACTTGCTGCATGCCTCCCACGACAGTCGCTGACAGCTTTGATAACAGGTGACTTTTTAAACGTCATTTAGACATCCTCAGCTGACGTTAGTGCTGGTTGCCGGGAGGCTTGAAGGGAGGTTCACTTGCTGTGAGCCCCCTGCAGCATTGAGAACAGGTGACTTCTTAACCTTCATTTGTTCCAACCAAGACGTCCTCAGCTGGAAAAAGGCGTCACTCTGTCTCTAGAGTGTGGGGGCGGCTGGCTGTTAACTTGCTGTGTCCCCCCACTTATATTTGAAACAGGTAACTTTTTAAGCGTCATTTGTTTCAACCATGCAAAAGACGTCCACAGCTGGAAAAAATCGTCACTCTGTCTTTAGAGTGTGGGAGCGGCTGACTGTGTACTTGCTGTGCTCCCTCACTGATATTTGAAACAGGTAACTTTTTGAGCTTCATTTGTTTCAACCAAAAGACGTCCTCAGCTTTAAAAGGGGCTTGCGTCCATGTAATCTCTCGTTAGAGGTGTCAAAAATAAAATCTCGATCAAAAATCAAACTTCGATCGTGGGGTATCTACCCATCCACCTGCAACTCAGGCTCGGAGGTGCGTCCCTGCACTCTGTCCCTGGAATGCTGGCTGAGGGGCGGCGTGAGGGCGAGGGGATGTGGCGGCTGGCTGTTCACTTGCTGTATGCCTCCCACGACAGTCGCTGACAGCTTTGAGAACAGGTGACCTTTTGAGCTTCATTTGTTTCAAAAGACGTCACTGGACATAGAGCTTCCCAAAATATACCCATGACAACATCCAGGCACTTTTCTGTGACTGAGTCACCATCATCATCACCATCATTATCATCATCATCATCATCATCATTTCAGCCACAGGACGTCCACTACTGAACATAGCCCCCAATGACTTCCACATCGCACGGTTGGTAGCGGCCTGCATCCAGTGCCTTGGTGCTACCTTTATCAAATCGTCGGTCCACCTTATGGTTGTGTGACCTACTACAGTACCTAAGTGGAAGGCCTACTACGCCGCGTCTTTCGGTACATGGTCGCCACTCGAGAATTCCGATCAACCGTCCACCTAGTAGAAAGTCTCCACTACGTCTTAATATGGGCCTGACTCAGGCTCGGAGGTGCGTCCCTGCACTCTGTCCCTGGAATGCTGGCTGAGGGGCGGCGTGAGGGCGAGGGGGTGTGGCGGCTGGCTGTTCACTTGCTGTATGCCTCCCACGACAGTCGCTGACAACTTTGAGAACAGGTGACATTTTGAGCTTCGTTTCAACCAAAAAACGTCTTCAGCTGAAAAAAGGCATCACTCTGTCTCTAGAGTGTGATGCGGCTAGCTGTTCACTTGCTGTGCGCCTCCCACGACAGTCGCTGACGGCTTTGAGAACAGGTGACTTTTTAACTCAAGGTCACCCAAAGGACGATGGAGCGTACTATGCTCGGAGTTTCCCTGCGCGCGTGATCGAATCAGAAATGAGGAGATCCGTAGGAGAACCAGAGTGACTGACATAGCCCACAGAAACGCTAAAATCAAGTGGCAGTGGGCGGGGCACATAGCTCGAGCTGATAGCCGCTGGGGCAGGACCCCCACACTTTCCAATAACTTTGAAAACAGGTAAATTTTTAAGCGTCATTTGTTTTAATCAAGACGTCCTCAGCATTAAAAGGACCTTGCGTCCGTGCACTCAGCCAGCCTGCTGTTCACTTGCTGTGCACCTCCTACGACAGTCACTGATAACTTTGAGAACGGGTGACTTTTTGAGCTTCATTTGTTTCAAAAGACGTCACTGGACATAGACCTTCCCAAAAGATATCTATGACAACATCCAGGCACTTTTCTGTGACTGAGTCACCATCATCATCATTATTTTAGCCACAGGACGTCCACTGCTGAACCTAGGCCTCCCCCAATGAATTCCAAATCACACGGTTGGTAGAGGCCTGCATCCAGCGCCTTCCTGCTACCTTTATCAAATCGTCGGTCCACCTTGTGGTTGTGTGACCTGTGACTGAGTGGAAGACCAACTACGCCGCGTCTTCCGGTAAGTGGTCGCCACTCGAGAAATCCGATCAACCGTCCACCTAGTAGAAAGTCTACACTACGTCTTAATATGGGCCTGACTCAGGCTCGGAGGTGCGTCCGTGCACTCTGTCCCTGGAATGCTGGCTGAGGGGCGGCGTGAGGACAAGGGGGTGTGGCGGCTGGCTGTTCACTTGCTGCATGCCCCCGACTCCGGTCGCTGACAACTTTGAGAACAGGTGACTTTTTAACCCTGTTAATTTCGAAGAAAAGTCATCCGCAGCTGGAAAAAAGCCTCGCGTCGACGCATCCTCTTGCGGGGAGGCGTGAGGAAGGGGGTTCACTTGCTTCGCACCCCTTACAGCTTTGAGAACTGGTGACCTTTATGAACTTCGTTTTGACGAAAAGACATCCTCAGCTGGAAAAAGGCGTCACTTTGTCTCTAGAGTGTGGTGCGGCTAGCTGTTTACTTGCTGTTTGTGAAACGTCAAGCTGTGAGTACATAATGTTACTCATTAACAAACGCCGCGTTAAGACTCCTGTCTTTCTAATTTAGTTTCATTTGTTTCAACTATACAAAAGACGTCCACAGCTTGAAAAAGGCGTCACTCTGTGTCGAGAGTGTGGGGGCGGCTAGCTGTTTACTTGCTGTGCTCCCCCTACTGATATTTGAAACAGGTGACTTTTTGAGCTTCATTTGTCTCAACCAAAAGGCAACCTCAGCTTTAAAAGGGCCTTTCATCCGTGCACTCTATCGCCAGCAGAGTCCTAGCGTCCATCCTGGAGAACCCATCCACCTGCAACTCAGGCTCGGAGGTGCGTCCGTGCACTCTGTCCCTGGAATGCTGGCTGAGGGGCGGCGTGAGGGCGAGGGGATGCGGCGGCTGGCTGTTCACTTGCTGTATGCCTCCCACGACAGTCGCTGACAGCTTTGAGAACAGGTGACTTTTTTTCGACGAAAATTCATCCACTACTGGAAATAATCATTACTCTGTTGTTAGAGCGCTGGCTGGAAATTAAGGTAAGAGTGAGGGCGGGGTGAAAACGAGAGGGGTGAGGGCGAGGGGATGCATGGGCCACTGAAAACTTTGAAAACACGTGACTTTTTGGGCTTTATTTGTTTCAACCATGCAAAAGACGTTCACAGCTGGAAAAAGGCGTCACTCTGTCTCTAGAATGTGGTGAGGCTAGCTGTTTCACTTAATCTACGTAATGGGGTGGTCTTGCGCTGCCCCTATTTACCAGATAGTCGGTACACCGAGTTTATTACATCTTCCAGTCTGTGTTCGCCACTCAAACAAGACCATCTACGAGCTACGAGTATGTGCACAGGTTTCTCTTTTGAAACCTATTTCAGGTTTCAACCAGTCCCTCGCACTTTAGGTTAGAAATCCTTGGCTTAGTTTCTTTGTTTTGTGTACCTAAATTGTGAAGGGTAATAATTTTTTTTTTATGTGCCCTACCTACAGTCCTACACCCATATTATTAGGCCAGTTCAGCTGGTTATGTTAGTTTCCTTGGTGCTAAATAATAAATTGAATGACGATACGAACACATATGAACTTGATGGAGCGATCACTACCGCCGGTTGATATTAACAACAGCTCTTCATTTTCCGATTATTTCCTATAATTTTCTTCTACCTGAGTTGTCTGGAAAAGACAGCATCTTAATTGTTCCGTCTCCTTTGTTCCTTCTTTTCTTGCTATACCATGTGGTGTAGCATACACTATTTATCTATCTTTGTGTGTTAGTATTATTAAATATAAACTACCTTTATCTTCTCCCCAGCATACCCTCATCAGAATGGAAGTACAGCAAGGTGGTCCCGCCCAAGCTGCGTCAGATTCCTCAGCGCAGCGTGATGCCCTCTAACATGTTTCGGCGGAGAGCCGATGATGACGCTTCTCAGGTGATTACTAACATCGTTCGTTTCAGCCAAATGATGCTGGACTAAGGCCTCGGACCAAGGATTTCCCTAACGACCGGTCTTGCAACGCCCGCATCCAGGCGTCTCTCGCGACCTTCACTAGATCATCGATCCATCTTGTAGCCACATAATCCCTACGTTTTATGATGACATCAACAAAATCTATTATCAAATAGCCTAACTTTGGGGCCCTGTCCCCTTGTCGTTTCATCCACATGACGTCTATATCTGGACAAAGGCCTCCCCAAGGATTTCCACATCGATCGGTCCTGCGCCGCCCGCATTCAGGCACCTCCCGCGACCTTAAACATCGTCGGTTCATAGTGGCCACATAATCACAACGTTTTATGCTGACATAAATAATAAATCCATTATCAAATAGCGTAACTTTGGGGCCCTGTCCTCTAGAAGAAGTTACAAACGTGACAGTTGTAATTCCGAAATTTGTTTGCTCCGGCGTTTTTTTTTTTTTCAAATTCAAATTTATTTTATTTGCACAGAAACATGGTACAATACGGATGTCAGATAAAACAATCGGCTATTTATGGAGCTACTTCGCTACAAACAATTAATTTCCCAATGAAAACGTCACGAGTAGGTACTTGTTGTAGGCCCTCTATCATTATACTGATATGTGTCAGTAAATAAGCATCATTATCCTGTTCTGTTCTATTCTATTCATAATATTTGGATGATGATTCTTTTTCAGGTGGACTGCGGTCTTCCCTCATCCCGTATCCTCCAGAAGAGAATCATTGGAGGTAGAGAGGCTCGCTTCGCCGAGTTCCCGTGGCAAGCACATGTGAGGATATCGGAGTTCCAGTGCGGAGGTGTCCTTGGTAAGTAAATCTAGTTATCTTCTATATTTATAAAAGCGAAAGGTCACTGACTGACTGACTCACTCATCACGAAATCTCAGAAACCACAAGTGCTATGAGTCTCAAATTTTGCATGGGGGTTCCTTTTAGAACGTAGGTGCTCACTAAGTACGGATTTTACGAAACTCCACCCCTAAGATGGTAAAACGGGATCCATGCGTACAAAGTCGCGGGCGGCCGCTAGTTTTCTATAAAAATGATTCAAGATCAATTGCAGAATGTACCAAAGCGCAATACAGCAGATTTTCTTAGCTAATTCTTTTTTGCTAAGGACGTTTTGTACCTACGTAAGAATAATACAACTGGCAACCAGTTGTACTTGTAACTGAATTTGATCCGTCGCCAGTACTTGCCATTTAATGTCTTGGAACACTGGCAAGGCCTAAAAGATAAGGTGACATAGGTACTCTTAACACTACAAAATGTGAAGAGCTCTAGGTAAGGCTGCACAGAAGGTAAAACTGCTCAGTATACTTTTTTCTTTTCTTTCTTATTGTTATTACCTATGTGTTACTTTTATATCTGTCCACCTTTTAGTCTTTGTATAATGTCCAGTGTGATAAGCGTTTCTTTCTAAATCAATTATTATAGTCTACCTACTACACTTTTTAATATTTGCCTAGTTCGAGCAAATTTCAGTGAAACTTAACAAATCTAAGTAAGACCACTTAAGTACCTGGAATTACGCAAACAAAGAAATTTGATTTAATTTGAAATCTCTTGATAATTCCAGTGTCCCGCTGGTACGTAGCGACGGCTGCGCACTGCGTGTCCCGCGCCCGGCCCAGGGACATAGCGGTGTGGCTGGGAGCGTTGGACACCACCGCCGGCGCTGACACTTCAAGAAAGCTTGGGTACGTTAGATATTCTTCGTTAATACATAATAATTATTATTATTTATTGATCGAGTGTCGTAAGAGGCGACTTAGGGACTACACATCAAACAGAGAACGGGCAGCAGCGCTCTCTGAAAAACATCAATCTTTTAAACTGCGATCTCCAAACCGCCTGCCAAGCGTGGGGATTATGGCAAAACCCTTCACTATAGTGGAGGAGGCTCATAGTCCAGCAGTAGACTGTAAAGGGCTGTTGATGATAATGATTTATTTATTTCGAACCAGATTAATCCATATTTGTGTTAAAAACAGTTAATACATCTATATATATAAAAGAAAGTCGTGTTAGTTACTTCGCTTATAACTCAAGAACGGCTGAACCGATTTAGCTGAAAATTGTCAGGGAGGTAGTTTAGAGCCAGGAGAAGGACATAGGATACTTTTTATCCCGTTCGAAATAAAAAAAAAGTCTGCTTATTTATTGCCATTAAGGCGGAACAAAGTTCGCCGGGTCAGCTAGTTACTTATAAACTAGATTAGTAAACAATAAATAAGTAAATAACAAATGACGCCCACTGTTAGACAAAGGCCTCCCCCAAGGATTTCTGCAACGACCGGTCTTGCGCCTGCATCCAGATACTTTCCACGACCTTCACCAGATCGTCGGGCCACCTAGAGAGGGGCCTGCCCATACTACGTCTGGATAGATATAGTTAGTTGGATAGAGTACTGACCTGAAAATACTTGAACGAAGCAAGCGTTTTCATAGTGAAATGAAGTAGCTTGAAGTTTCCACAAGTTTTTAGTTTGTCATTGTTTCCTCGAAATAAAACTAAAGGTGCATTTGTAATTTGACGTTTTGTGCGTGACGCATCAGAACGAAATCGGTTATAGACATTCAGTTTGGTAACGTTTAAACTAGAGTGTTATCAGTGTTATCGCGTGTCGTGGTGGCTTCTGAGTTCTGACGTGTCGCATACTAAATGTATAAAACCGATTCCGATGTATAAAACCGATTCCGATGTATAAAACCGATTCCGACCGATTTTGATGCGTCATAATGACACAATACGTCAGACAGATTTATTAATTAATTTGCTTGTCACAGGCTTGACGTAATACAGATGGCAATTTTCAGTGATATTAATTAGAAATAATTTGTTACTAGTCGACATCTATTTTTTGGTTCTCAACTCGACTGTATTTTACAAAATATCTTTCTCAATTTCCAGAGTAGTCCAGAAGATCCTGCACCCTCTCTTCCAATTCCGCATGACGCAGCCGGACCGCTACGACATCGCTCTTCTCAAACTGGCCCGCCCGATCACGTATATGAGCCATATACTCCCCATCTGCCTGCCTGAAGGGGACATCGAGCTAAGGGGGAGAGCGGGCGTGATTGCTGGGTGGGGGAAGACGGATGCAAGTAACAGTCATACTGGGACTAACCTGCTGAGGGCTGCTACTGTACCTATACTCAGTAAGTATAACTTTGTTGTTAACGGTTGCAATAGTACAATGATGAGCATGGTGGAGTACACAAGAAATACCTCGCTGCGTCTATAAATTAGGAAGCTGCTCCATTTCTGCTGAAAATGATTTGGAGTCCAACCATCAGGTGATGTTGAATCTGATGTCATTGAATCATATTGTGATTCGAGTTATTTTTTACTAAAGCTCATTAAGTAACCGATACCACTCTAGTTTCTTTCTAGTTGTATGGGGTCCAACTCGCAATGTCATGTTTTGGTGTGTCACTAATGTTGCGCTAGTCTATTGATGTCTAAGTCTCACTGGTGTAAATAAACTGCACACTAGCACAGTAAACAAAGAATATGAGCCACATCTTCCCCATCTGCCTACCCGAAGGGAATATCGAGCTGAAGGGGAGGGCAAAGGTCATCGCAAGATGGACGAAGATGGATGCTAGCATTTTGGCGTTAATTCTACCATCAATATTAGTATAGAATGAAAAATATCTGCTTTTATTGTTCCAGGCAAAGAGCAGTGCATCACCTGGCACCAGAGCAAACAGATCTCCGTTGAGATCCACTCGGAGATGATATGCGCTGGCCACTCCGATGGCCACCAGGACGCTTGCTTGGGTAAATATGCCTTTTACTCAGACTTCTGAGAGCTCATTCAAATAAGACGTTTTTGAGACGAACGTTAGCCGTCCGTTTGCTCACAAAAAATAGGGATGTTTATGGGTAAAAAATAAACACTGAATGAGTTCTATTTTATGCTTTGCCAAAGCTCAAATGTGGAGGCCCGTCACGTCACTGAGTGGTAAAAAGTGTAGCACGGCATTACGTTACGCGGAACATCAACGTACTTAACTTCATACCTAATAACTTGTTTGATTGATGAATAATAATATACGTGTCCAATATTTTTGGATAATATTAATTGACGGACTAAATTCTCTACTATAAGAACAATAAAATAATTTCCAATCAAGCCAAGACTAAATAAATAAATGAGTACCTATACAATATGAATTCTCTGTAGCTCTAGGGCGGGTGGCCCGGCAAGCGTAAGGTTCGCTTGCCACCTTAGGCATTTTTTTAAAGTTATTTAAAACTAAAACTGGGTACTAACCATCTTTTTCTACAGGAGACTCCGGCGGCCCCCTCATAGTGATGGACAACGGTCGATACTACCTGGTCGGCATCACGTCAGCCGGCTTCGGGTGTGGAGTCGATCACCAGCCTGGCATCTACCACAATGTTAAAGTCACTGCTGGATGGATTAAAGGCGTCATATCACCTTCTAGCAACTACGTGGTGGACTATTAGGACAAAATAAAACAAACTTAGGCCAGGTTTCAGCCAAGACGGAGCGGAGCGGAGAAGTGATTTGAATAACCAATCAGATTTCATTATTTCCACATCTCTCCGCTCCGCACAAAAATTTGACGGTCTGACACTTCTTAGCTCTGTTCCGCTCCGCTCTGCCTTGGTGGAAACCGGGCCTTAGGGTAGGGTATCGGCAAATAACAGCTAACCGGAAAATCGTCTGGAAGAGATCACTTTAAAGCGTTAAGACCGCCTATAGTGTGCCGTCTCTTTTGTTTTTATTTTCTTGTGTTAGGTGAACTTAGGTGCATAATAGAGTGTGTTCTATGTGGCACTGGATTAAAGGCGTCATATCACCTTCTAGCAGTTATGTGGTGAATACTAGAAAAAAATTGGGGATCAGGGCCTAAAAGACCTTAGGGCCGGACTTTTTCGGATTATACAGAATAGGCAACTGCCTAGGGGAGATTTGTAATTTTGCAATGATCTTTTTGGGGTTCCGTAGCCAAATGGCAAAAAACGGAACCCTTATAGATTCGTCATGTCTGTCCGTCTGTCCGTCCGTATGTCACAGCCATTTTTTTAGATGAAAAAGGCCCTAACTAACTTTGTTGTGACGTGACGCATCAGAACGGTTTCATACATTATACGACACGTCAGAAGCCATCACTACACTTAGGCCCAGAACAGACGGTGAAACGCAACTGCAACGAAACTGCAACTTTCCGATGATTCTTATGAATGAAACTGAAACTGAAAGTTTCAAACTGGTCGTGTCATGTGTGGTCTCTCAACGGACGCTATGGCAGAACTTAGATGCAACTCAAAAGTAACTAGCAGTTGCAGTTTCGTTGCAGTTGCGTTTCACCGTCTGTTCTGGGCCTTACTGAATTAAACGCTATTATGAAATCGATTCCGTTCCGATGCGTCACGTCAGGCGTTCGCATTTATAATACCTAGTAATAAGTAATGGATACTGATGTATTTTAGCATCGAATGCGTAGGTACAAAAAGTTTAGACATAAAAGTGAGAGAACTATGGCCGTTTTCATCGACAAACCCCTATGTAGCCATCCCCTAGACATGAGCCCTAGACTAAAATGTTTCCCACAAACGATTAGTTCGTTCGTTTCAGCCAAATAATGTCCACTGCTGGACAAAGGCCTCCCCCAAGGTTTTCCACAATGAACGGTCCTGCGCTGCCCGCATCCAGTTTCCAAACTTGACAAAGTGACCGACATTCGTAGAGACGATGGCCGTTGGGGCAAAAAGTTCTCGAGTGGCGACCACGGGCTGAAAGACGTAGCGTGGGCAGGCCTCCTACTAGGTGGACCGACGATCTGGTAAAGGTCGCGAGAAGAACCTGAATGCGGGCAGCGCAAGACCGTTCATAATTGAAAGCCTTTGTCAAGCAGTGGACGTCATTTGGCTGAAACGAACGAACGAACCTAATAGCGTTTTGTATGGTCACGAAATGAAATATTGAGCTGTGTTCAACTTAAGGGGTACTTTTTTCCCTTGTGACTTAACTTTGACTAAACTTTGATAATTTCACAATAAGGGTTCCCTATGGGAATATTATTTAAGTGATTGTCGGTGAAAAAGAGGTAGTTCTCGTAGAATACCTTCAAAATTTTTAAGATCTTCCTGTATTGAAGTGGGTTTTAATTTTTATTTAATTTAAGTAATGTTTGTAAAAATAGTTATAGACTGCTTCACTTGCCGTTTTGTAATCTTGGCTAAATATTGATCTCTTGTAAAGTTTTATTTATTCATTTATTTATTGTTTTGTGCAATTGTTGTAAAATTAAATAAGAAAATGTCGTTGGGTGTTTCATTTCATACCTATTTAATATTTAAGGCGAATTCAATCACATTGAATTCCATAACCTTACTAGCTTTTCCCCGCGGCTTCGGCCCCGTGAACGTCCTCAATAATTATCTATGATGAAAACCGCATGAAAATCCGTTTAGTAATTAAATTTTTTTGGCGTTAAGGGTCGCTCGATCTAGGCAGTTAGGATTTTTCAAGTTATTTTAAAAAATCTGTTTAGTAATTTTACTAAACGGATAGACAGACAAACGCGGTAAACGATATTTTTTTTCATTATGTAGGTACTTGTAATATCTTTGACTTTGCACTGGCTAAATATAAGATAAGAAGAAGAAAACACCACTTCCCGCTAAGCTCTGCCTATGCTGACAATAAACTAGAAAAATAACACAAGAAAGGTCAATACAATACCAATTATAGTAATAATGAAGGGCAATCGGTAGATAGTCAACTGTATCACAATGACGATGGAATGAGTAACTAATTGTACAAACAATTAAGAAATAGCGCACTCATATGACTTTGTGACAATCTTGGTCGATAATTCTTGTGTAAGAAGAGAAAAAACACGAATGCTGCTGTCTTTCCTGAACACTATAATCCGGGCCTTTTCAAGGCGAGAGTGAATAGGCACTTACAGGGCAGATATGTACCAGCCTAGACTGCATCTCACCTAACATGAGTGCGATTGCGGTCAAATAACTACATGCCTTGTCACTATAAAACAAAGTCGCTTGCCGCTGTCTGTCCCTAATGCTTAGATCTTTAAAATTACGCAACGGATGCGTTTTGATGCGTTTTTTTTAATAGATAGTCATTTAAGAGGAAGGTTTAAGTATACTTAGTTCCCGGGTAAAAATGGGGCGGGTCGCTAGTTATACATAAAAAATGCATAACTTGTTATTAATACTCAATACTCAATACTCAATAAGTTTATTGCTTCCTTAATAGTTATTTAGTTTCGGAAGATTTAAAAACAGGCGTAGCTTTTAAGAAAACTTGGCGGCGCACTACAACTAACAACGAGGCGAAGAAAATCGGCAAAACTTGGAGCGAGATCAAACGCGAAGCTCAAGACCGAACGCGATGCAGGACTGTTGTAGATGCCCTCTGCCCCATCTATCTGCCCCGTAAATAACCGTTTGAGGTATATTTATGAAATTTGAAGCTGATGTTTATCTTGCAAGTCTCAACACATGAGCCAAATTTGAAGTGTTAATGCACAGTAGTTTTTGAGTGATGAGGAGTCAAAAGTGGCTCCAAGTGGTTCGTCTAAATATACGCACGGTGCAGTCCCCTCCCTGGAACTGGGCTTAACATGCTCCCGCATGTCTATAATATTAGCTCAATGTTGATTTAGTCGATTTTCTCCTGATGGGAACATGCAAGACAAAAATAAAATTTGCAATATTACAGACCTTCTAGAGCAGATGCCGCGAAAACTATACAAGATATAGAAAAACTTGACTATCTCACCTGTAGCAAATTGAATTAGCTTTTTTTGGTTCACAGTAGCCATGTCACTAGGACGCATAGTTTCCGAGGATTAAGCGAAAAACTGAAAAGTGGTAGCTTTAAACCACCCTCTCCCACGCCAGCTCAAGGGCTAAGGACTTTTACTATGTTCACCTCCTAACTAAGCTAAATAAAGTACCGAAGTCAGAAATTGTGTTCCATGATTTTCCATCTATAATGCTTTATTGACTGGACTAATAGCTATCTGAAGAATCTTCAGATCTTCAGTGAAAACACTAGTGTGACACTAGTATGTAGGACTAGGTACAGTCAGCGTCAATTAGTTCGTGACACCCAAAGTAGCCAAAAAGTTCGCAACGCGTCTTTGTTACAATTGGATTTTTTTTTTGACAGGAGGCAAACGAGCAGACGGATCACCTGATGGTAAGTGATTACCGTCGCCCATAGACACCCGCAGACCCAGGGGCGTTACAGGTGCGTTGCCGGCCTTTAAGGTGAAGATACGCTCTCTTCTTGAAAGCTTGCAGGTCGTATCCGTCCGGAAACACCGCAGACGACAGTCCATTCCACAGTTTGGTTGAAATCTAATTGGAATAAGGTTGAAAAATGAATAAGGTCGTGTTGTCAACTTCTTAGCCACTTTGGGTGTCACAAACTATTCGATGCTGACTTTACCAATTTAAACATACCTCTACATTTTTTCAATTAATACCTAGATACTTTTTATTCGTACACGATAACTCACGAGCAACATAATTACACAATTGACTAATGTAATTAATTATAAAAAATAATTAGAGGTTAAAATAAAATCGCTAATGATGCCCTAAAAGCAGTCATTAAATCAACCTATACTAAAAAATAATGTATTAGATTTCAACACAGAGTACCTAAGCCATTGGTTCCCAAAGTGGGGGGCGCGCCCCCCAGGGAGGCGCAAAGATCTTTAAAGGGGGCACGGGCCATCTGTGTACTTGAGTATAAAAAACCTGCGACCGCTGAGAGAATGCATTCCAGACTGCTCGATACGACCAATAAATAATCTTGACTGGAGTAGGAGGGCGCGGAATTTTTTGTATGGTCGAAAGGGGACGCGTCTCGAATAAGTTTGGGAACCAATGCCCTAAACAGACGTTTCTAGAATACTTAGGCCCGTATTCACAAACGGTGCTTGCTTAAGTGAAGCAGCAAATCGAACGCACAGCGTTGAATAGAGCTCTGCGATTGGTTCGTGTGTCACCCTGGGCGTCCACGCGCACTGTGAAACCTCATAGTAATGTTTGTCAATACGGGTGTTAATATCTTGTTTTTCCCTGGGTCTCAAACTACATATCTACTATTAACTGACAGTTAAATATTTGCAACAATATTTCTGTTAGATGCAGGGTAGGTGGTATACTTAACATTGATGAAACAAACGCTGGCTGTAACAGCGTATTAAACTTGAAAATTTCGACGGGTTCATCCAGTGTCTAAGTAGCTCAGTTGGAAGAGCAGTCGCCCGGCAAGCGGAAGGTCGTGGGTTCAATTCCCGCCTTAGGCAGTTCGATTTTTTCAAGTTATTTATAATTTTCAAATTACATATCTACGATTCGAATCGAGTTAACTGCGCACCTGGTAGTTGTGACGTCACATCGACTGGTAGACGGGGCGAACGCAGGGAGGTGTTCGGATAAGTGGGAGGTAGAGTCGCATTCCAGCCAGGTGCGCAGCTTATCTTTTTTTTATCTACAACGAGGAAGCTCTTGGCCTGTATCTCACCTGATGGTAAGTGACGATCAGGCCGAAGCGAGCTTCACCCGGAATCCTCAACCACGGAGGAACTGGCTATCTTACCTCCAACTGCCGGAACACAACACAACGCAGTCAGCTCGATCGGGTTATAAATACAAATAAGTTTATTGTGCATAATGTTACAATTTGTACACACTGAAAAATCACTAACTGTAGTTTAATTTTTCATTTTGCAATCTAAAAACTCAAAGGTGACTGACTGACTGACATAGTGATCTATCAACGCACAGCCCAAACCACTGGACGGATCGTGCTGAAATTTGGCATGCAGGTAGATGTTATGACGCAGGCATCCGCTAAGAAAGGATTTTACGAAACTCCTCCCCTAATTGGGCAAAACGGGATCCACGCGTACGAAGTCGCGGGCGGCCGCTAGTCAAAGATAAGTTTATGCACATCACATCTACATACTAACTCCTGCCCGTGGCTTGGACCGCTTATTTTTCGGTCTGTCTCAGAAAGTCTGCTTAATAATCCCACATTCAAACAATTGTTACAAAAAAAATCTCATAATCAGCTATGTATTTTCAGATCCCTACTTGTGAAATATTTAGATAATGTTCATCCCTATTTCACTTATTTTGAGAAAAATGTGACATAAATCCTTCTTCTAGATTATATTTAGATCTCTTTCTTAACCAAAATGTATCAAGATTGTTTGAGTTTCAAAAAATTATAGACAGACAAGCTTTCGAATTTATAATATTAGTTTTTATTCAACTAGTTTCCTTAAGATTAATTATTGTAGTATTATTTGGATACAAATTATTCTACTTAAACATTTACTATGGTTAACCACAATATCAAACAATAATAACGTTTTCAGTTTGCTAGTCACATTAAATTAAATTAATGTAGTACAATTTCGTAACTTCCTGTTTATAAATAAAAAGCCAAGAAATATTTTAAGTATTAAAGTTAATTATTACCACAAATAAATTGCAATACTGTTCATGCGAACGGTTAAACAAAACCAGTTCATTCGTTACGCCAATTCAAATTAAACTTTAAATCATTACCGTTACGATTCATTATCTCACGATTACATGGAAGGAATATCTCAACCGGTCAAACGACTTCTCTTAAAACTATTTTGTGTTCTATTGGACTAGAATTAGAGTTGATAATTCAATAAGGTTTGACTCTACAAAGATCCGGTGAAACGTGCTGCAAATGTCAAATAACCACAGTCGGTAATGTCGCGGTAGCGCGACGACGTATTCCAAATTCTAATTCGAATTTCTATTTTTAAATTCGAATTGAAGTTCCTTTTGACATTACAAAGGAGGTTTAAGTTTGTTTTTTATGGAATAAAGAGGTTAAGAACTCTTTGTTGGAAAAGTGACAGTTGAACAAAATGGCGCGAAGGGAAATTCTGTTATTTTTCGTTGTTTGCGCCATGGCGTCGGTTTTGGACGGCCAGACCTTGGGAGGTAAGTGAAAGGTTTTATTATAAATCTAAAGATAGCTTCTACCTTGTGAACTAAGATAGATTACATGAAACATTGCAAAGAGAAAGTGCACGAGAATGCACCGACGCTTTTTTCTGCATAACTTCACGCTACAGTTTTGTAAAAAAAGTATTAATTCAATACAAAAAGACTAGTTTTCTCAACAATACTAAACTCTACTTAACACTATAAATTCCATCGAATATTTGTCATTAGAAATTCAAGTTTTTGTGAGTCGCCTAGTTAACTGCTAAGGAACATGCACTTGCACATAATATCTATCACAGTCATTTTACTCATCATTTAGTTTTTATGTTCCTGGTACCTATTAGTGGTCCTAATAAAAATAATCATAATTTTGACTCTGTATTTAGAAACCCTAAAATAGTGAACAGAAAAGTAGAAATATTTTTGAAATAACGCTATCCTAAAAAGGGATTTAAATCGAAACGACCTACTAATTATCCAAAACTCTACATAGAATACTTGTCTGCGTCAATAAACTATGGCAATATTGTACAAAAGATTATAATAAAAATAGATTCAATATAAACAATAGATAAAAACTAAACTGTCTCAATGATCTCAACATTCGCTTTGCAATAAAAAATAGGCTTTATCATAATGTATCATAATAATAATTATGTATCAGTTATTCGTTGACATTACCAATATAAAAATAACAGCAAGACTATTAACAAGTGCAATATAAATTACATATTTAAATGTTGCTCGAATTACACATAATATACCTACAACGTTTCTCCTTAACCTTTTTTGAAACCTTATAAACGTAATTAATGACGAAATCAATCACGATAAACATTTTATTAAGCAACCAATTACTATAGTCATTAATGTCATTCATAAATGAATCATTACAGTTAATGATAACATAAGATTTATCAAGTCTTTAAATGAGGACTATTGTTTTTATAATAACAGTTGGCACTACTGGCGACTGACATGGCCCTACTCCAGGGATGTTAAGAATATCCGTAACCGTAACCGAAACTATCGGATATTCGAAATAAAAAAATATCCGTAACCGAAACCGATTCAAAAGTTTCGGATGGTTTTGGATAAAAGCGGAGTCTAAATCTTAATATTTTTAATATTTGTTACTTGTCTGGCATCCCCTGGCACAGTCTGATTTACCCGCCTGTTTTACCTTTATCATAGGTGTTAATGAAAAAGCGCAAAACCTCAGACACCCCAACTTATTTTTATTATAAAAGGATTATGTAAATTATTAAAATTAATTTTCGCAGATTACTTACGAAGATATTCACTCTTTTTGTTTTCGCCCCGCGCACCTGTTATCTCTTTTTTACGCATTTCTGGAAACGTATTGACCTTTCGGTTAGTAGGTTAGTAGTTAACGTAGACCTCTGTAAGTAACGATTAAACACGGCGTAATTAAAATATTTTTTGTTTAAAGGATAGTGCCAGGGTCTGGACCAAGTGTTGCCCAGAATCAACCTATAGTGCATTTTGTTCCTCAGGCCTATACTAATGTGTAAACTGAAGCGCACTGAATTCTATCCCTGGAGTTAAGAGAAAAAAAGAGTTTTGTTTTGAATTATTTACATACAAAATATCATCGATGTATACGTACTACGCATTAGATTTCGCGATTATGGCATTAAATAACACTCGCTATGTTGAACTTAACCATAATGCATCCGTACACGTTACTTTAGTGCGATTTAGACATTCTTTATAAACGATCTAGCGCTGTTTTAATTGTTTGGTAAGTTGAAAAAATTCATTATTTCCAAAATGAAGCAAGAAGTTTTAGTTTTCTATACTTGCAAAAAATCAATTTATTGGTGTATTACAATTGATTATTGAAGTTATTGTAAGCAAAAACTTCTTGCTCCATTTTGGAAATAATTAATTTTTGTCAAGTAACCAAACTACTGCAACAGCGCTTGATCGCTTATAAAGAATGTCGAAGTCGTACTAAAGTAAGGTGTACGGATGCAGTATGGTTAAGTTCAACGTAGAAAGTGTTATTTTATGCGTAGTACGTATACATCGATGATATTTTGTATGTAAATAATTCAAAACTAAAATCTTTTTTTCTCCTAACTCCAGGGATGGATTTCAGTGCGCTTCGGTTTACAAATTAGTATTGGCCTGAGGAACAAAATGCACTATCGTTTCATTCTGGGCAGCACTTGGTCCAACTTCCATACATGGATTGGCACTGTCCTTTGAGCCTAATTTTTATTAGTGAAATCGATTTTACTCTCGATTCCGAACAAACTAATTTCAGGTTTTGCGCTTTTTCTTTAACACGTTGTATAGGTCGTACAGCTTCTTGCTATTTGAATTTTACCTTATTAAATTCTAATATCCGTAACCGAAATTATCCGAAACTTTCGGATAATCCGAAATGATTTACTATCCGCAACCGTAACCGAAACCGATATATTAATTATTGTGAGTAAATGTGGTAGTCCTCATACCGCTTCTTCATCAGTTGGTGCTACTGTCTCCGCCATCAGCAAATGACAGTGACCTTACTCTTCAGTGGCGCCAACTGGTGAGCTCTAAAACGATAGCCCTCTTTTCCCTGTGGCTGCAAATATTCCAAGATTCTTTTCCCAGATGAGACACACCTAGGAAGCTTCTGTGGTCTAGTGGTAAGACCATCTGCTTCTGATCCAGAAGTTTCGAGTTCGATTCCCATATTGGGGGCAAAAGTTCCAGGACCAGTAGTTACTGAAATAAGCGCGTTAAAGAAAGAAACTCTTCAGCTTTATTAATATTCGTATAGATTTTTGCAACAAAAATATAGCCTGATATCCTGTCTATACAAACAAATTATACAAAGTCATTTATCTCTAGTATTATTAATAAACTCATACTCAGACGGTAAGTCCCAGTATCAGTATCAACAAATATACAGACAAGTGAACAGTGCTAAAGTGAAACTTAAAAAAGATTTTGTGCAAAAACGCGAAATGGCTTCTAAAATTACAGGTAACCTTTTTGTGTTGAACACTATTGACTCCACAATATTTCTTAAACCAATAGTTTTATAGCACAAGAATTTATACTGAATTTAAAGTGACCTTTAATATGAAGAAGCTATAATGAGAATGAAAACTAGTTTAATATTGAATCAACAGCTGTCAAGGCTTGTCGAATTAATTATAATATTCGCACGTTCATAATCAAACCGTCACTATNGTGGAATTTTTACAGCATGCACTTTTCGCGGAGCTCTGATAGATGGCGTTGTTAACTCAATTTCTCCCAATTTCGTATAGTGACGGTTTGATTATGAACGTGCGAATTCTTATTTTAGTGTATTGTGATTCTATAATCTGCGTGAAAGATAAGATAATTTTGACAATTGTTATACAATTGTAGTTTATTATCAACTTCTGGACTGCGTAGGTTGATTGCGTTAAAAACATCCTATTACGAATTCTGTGCATTCAGGTATTATTGCTGCGTCCGAATGTAATCATAATCATAGTGACCATTAAGCGGACCAAATACTAATACTATAACCCCCTTACTAATAAAACTTTATTATTAAAGTGACGTTTAGTGTGGAAATGTCATTTTAAAACAGTGTTAACAACAACTGTGTAACTTTTTATTACTAATATGCGGTGGTTCAAACGAAGGTTATATTATAGTGCGACAAGCAAGACTATTTGTATGTGAGGAGATTTAATGTCATTAATTACTGAAGAAAGAAATGACAGTACTATTGTTGGCACTATGACTGGTAGAGTCTGAAAAGCCTTCAAAACGATGATGATGATGACAAGATTGATGCTAAAGCCCTTGGATGTAATTTTGCGATTCTTTGCAGTACGGATACCATTAATTTAGTTTTAATTTCAATGAAAAAATTACTTTTTACTTCACTACAAAGAGTATCATAAAGACTTAATCTGTCGATTTGGTATTCTAAGTCAGTGGAATGTGCATACTTTCTTAAATTCATACTTGTTCATAGTGACTTATATTCTGGCCGAACTATCTGACTGATAAAATTCTGTATTCTACGGGTATCTACTCTGACAGAACTCTTAATTAATTTAACGGTAAAAGAAAGAAAATGGTAAAAGCACATATAGAAAATCCAGAAAAACACTTGTGAAATTCGTTTTTTTTTATCCATAACGAGGAAGCTCTTGGCCTGTATCTCACCTGATAGTAAGTGACGATCAGGCCGAAGGTGGAAGCGAGCTTCACCCGGAATCCTCAACCAGGGAGGAACTGGCTATCTTACCTCTAACTGCCGGAACACAACAATGCTGTTAACATTGTTGTTATGGCGACAGACTTAGGTAAGATGGTGGTAGCTAGCCAGGCGGACTTAGATATTCAATAAATAATTATTTTTATGAAATAACTCAAATCTTTACCTCCATTTCTGCAGCAAGGTAAAGCCTCAAGCTCCAACAAACACTCATTAAACTGAGTCATATAAGAATGCATCAGAACAGGTTTTTTCGTATTACTCACTTGATACGATACGTTTTGGGTTATATTTATAGACCCACTTATATGGCAGTTGGGACCACAATTTTTTTGTTGGGGTAAAAATAGTATTTGAAACTTTTTCCTTATTGTTTTGATTTATAGTTTCAAAAAGTAGTCAAGTAGATTAAAGCTTTTTTTACAAGTTAAATGGAAACTATAATACTTGCATAGTTGCATGAAAATGCATAGATTAATAGATCAAATTGCACAATTTATCTTGCTTCAAAACCAAGTTATCTGTTCGATTCTATACTACATAGTAACATGTTCAACATCTCTTTAGAATAAAAGCAATATTTATCGAATTTTCTACCCCCTATACAGGGTGGAATTTTGTAATGCCACCTGGAGAAAAATACCCTTAACACTAGAAGTGCCGAAGATTGCGACCCCCCTAAAAGCGCCGCTGGGTCAATTTTGTCCCAGCATATCTTTTGTAACATTTTTTAGTTTCAGGCATGAATATT